GCAGTGTTTTAGAAAATCCATTATTAATAGAAACAAACGGTTACATTTGTTACTTACTCTTGGGTGAAAAGCTATTGCAGTGACAAAGTCTATATGTTGAAAGCAGCACAGGCATTCCCTCCTTGATATATGCCACAATCGCACAGTTTTGTCCATAGAAGATGACAGCAAAAAGTAGTTCTGCAGGGTTTAAAGCATGATGTTGAGAATATTTCCATTTTGACGATAAAACAAGAGGGAAAACAGTGAATTAATGTAAGGAGTAACCTGATATGAAACAGAAATTCTCAAAAATACCACCCATTATCTACAGCATTAATACTGATTTGCTTTATTTTGGATTTTAAAAAAAAGTACCAATAAATGTTGTCAAGTATAAAGCCAAGAGGAGTGAGAAGAGAAGACAAGACCAACGGCAGTGCTTAAAGTGGAGCCACCTGGTCTTTTTGAGAACACAAAAATTGTCTTTTTTTAAAAAAGCTTTTGCTTTGGTCTTTTTTATTCTTGAAAATATTTCAATCCTCCATGCAAGTTAGCATAGTACATCATACAAAGGATTCCAAGGACATTTTCATGGAAAGAAAGCTTGCTGGCCTTCACTGGTGATCATTTCTCCCTGTCTACATTTAACAAATAAACATAACAAATTTAACAGATTGCGGATTTTATTCAGATCAGGAAAGTAAGCAACCATCTTTACATCATAATCCTCCCCTCCTCCCTTGCCCAGCTCTCTCCTTCCTAACTTTTATCAGACACAAGATGATTATCTACTATGATGGAGAATACATGTTCAGCTGCCTCCTCGGCATCAAACTATTTGCTGCTGAAATTCCCACCCTTGTGTTATTTGTCTTCAGATTCAACTGTTCTAATGTCTATCTCCACACTTTAGCTGACCAATACCCAATCTTTGCTGCCTGGATGCTATCCTACACTTTTGTTTCCTGTCCCCTCTAAAGCCTCCAAACAAAAATTCTCAGTCACGTCTAAGTCCTTCATGCCATTTCTACTCACCTCTTAGAACTTTCCCTAGGCCTACATGGACAATATTTCTGTTACTGCAGCCTTTGTCCATCTAATTCTCCTCTCCTGCGTCATTGTAAGTAGCAATACTTTCAGACACCGAAACCCCATTCTTGAGAATTTCTTTCCTAAACATCTTTCATATCATCTCTCTCCCCTCCTCGAAGACCTCCTTTAGACCCAAAACTTCAACCATGTACAAGATCATCCCACTAACATTCTTCATGCCTGTGTCCAAATTTTAAGAGTCATTGAGCTGTACAGCACGAAAACAGATCCTTTGGTCCAACTCGTCCATGCCGACCAAATGTCCTAAATAAATCAATTCCCATTTGCCAGCATTTGGCCCATATCCTTCTAAACCCTTCCTATTCATAGACCCATCCAGATGCTTTTCAAATGTTGTAACTGTACCAGCCTCCATCACTTCCTCTGGCAACTCATTCCATACACGCACCACCCTCTCTGCGTGAAAAAGGTGCCGTGAGGTTTCTTTTGAATCTTTCTCCTCTCACCTTACAACTATACCCTCTAGTTTTGGACTCCCCCAGCCTGCAGAAAAAATCTTGCCTATTCATCCTATCTATGCCCCTCTATGATTTTAGAAGGTCACCCTCAGCCTCCAAAGCTCTAGGGAAAATACCCCCTGAACACTTTCAAGTTTTACAGCATGCTTTCTACAACAGGGAGACCAGAACTGAACAGTATTCCAAATGTGACCAAACCAAAGTCCTATACAGCTGCAACATGACCCCTCAACTCCTATACTCAATGCACTGAACAATAAAGGCAAGCATACCAAACGCCGCCTTCACTACCCTGTCTACCTGCGATTCCACTTTCAAGGAACTACGAATCTGAGCTCCAAGGCTTCTTTGTTCAGCAACACTCCCCAGGACCTTACCATTAAGTCCTGCCCTGATTTGCCTTTCCAAATGCAGCACCTCACATTTATCTAGATTAAACACCATCTACCACTTCTCATCCCACTGGCCCATCTAATCAAGGTCCCATTGTACTCTGGAGGTAACCTTCTTCACTGACAACTACACCTCCAATTTTGGTGTCATCTGCAAACTTACTCACCATACCTATGTTCACATCCAAATCATTTATATAAATGACCCAACACTTATCCTTGTAGCACACCACTGGTCACAGGCCTCCAGTCTGAAAAGCAAACCTCCACCACCACCCTCTATCTTGTGCCTTCAAGTCAGTTCTGCATCCAAATAGCTAGTTCTCGCAGTATTCCAATGTGATCTAATCTCACTAACCAGTATATTACGAGAAACCTTGTCAAATGCCTTACTGAAGTCCATAGAGGTCATGTCCACTGCTCTGTCCTCAATCCTCTTTATCATGTCTTCAAAAAACTTAATCAAGTTGGTGAGACACAACTTCCCATGCACAAAGCCATGTTGACTATCCCTAATCAGTCCTTGCCTTTCCAAATACATGTAAATCCTGTCCCTCAGGATCCCCTCCACTAACCTGTCCACCATTGATGTCAGGCTTCCTGGTCTATAGCTCCCTGGTTTTTCCTTATCACCTTTCTTAAATTGTGCCACCACATTAGCCAACCTCAGTCTTCCAGCATCTCACCTGTGGCTATCAATGATACAAATATCTCAGCAAATGGCCCAGCAATCACTTCCCTAGCTTCCCACAGCATTCTAGGGTGCACCTGATCAGGTCCCAAAGATTTAGCCACCTTTGTGTTTTCAGACGTCCAGCATCTTCTCTAATATGGACATTTTTCAAAATGTTGCTATTTATTTCCCCACGTTCTCTATATTCCATATTGTCATCCACAGTAAACACTAATGCAAAATATTCATTTCTTGATACCTCTCTGAAGTCCTCTAAGATGCTGTTTCTTATGTTAGATTCAAGCTGCTACAATATGTTTATGATGGCACTCAGACAATATCCTACACCCACATTTTACTGACATAAGAAGACTTGCTACATGCATTAATTTCATTTGCACATGAATACTGTAGATGTGAGCTATTCTTCTACCTTTGACCACGAGAGGTCTAGAAGATCTGCAGTGTGCCCCTTGTATTTACAGAATGGGTGCTGCCGAAATGGTGCATTTTTGTCTTCAGGATCAGACTCTTCAGTTCCGCTGCATGCCTAAGAAACCACAGTCAAGAAAATAAAACTTATTTGGATTCTTAGAAAACAAGCTCTTCTACATTCCACTCAACCATATTCTGTTGACTGAATGATCAAAAATGGTCAAAATTTAGTAACATGCCTATAATGTTGTAATATCATTTACAAATTTACATTGCTTTTATGTCAGAATTACCTAATAATTCATTTCAGAGTGGATGAATTAGTGCAGATTTTTTATAAAACAAATTAATTCTCTAATATCAAGCTGGAATGATCAGGTTAAAATGAGACTAGGGGGGAATGTTGATAGCACTGACGCAAATAAAGAATGGCCTGCAGCATCTTGCGATCATACAGCTGCAGCCTCTCCACCAACAATGCTGTAATAGAATTTTGTTTAATTTACTGATTATTATAAACTCATTCACTTCCAGAATATTGAGTGATTCCAAAATTATCGTTTCTTTGCTCTTAACACAAAGAGGTGTGAAAATCAATGGTGGTTCTGTAAAATGACTGATAGGAAAATGGCAGCCAGTTTAACATTCAGCCTAATTTCTTTTTGACAGAAGTCAGCTGAAAAGAAAATCACTCAGGATACACACATTTCTCATGGCCCTTTTTTTACTTTGACCAAAGCCCAATTTTATCCCCATGTTTATTATGCATTTAGTAAGTACAATTTCTCTGTTCACATACCGTGTCGGTGTCAGACTTTGAAGAATTCAAGCTTTCTTGTGAAGGGGATGGTGACACACGACCTTAATAAAGTTAAAATTGTGATATTAAATGAAACTAACAAACCAGACAAAGTCATGAATTTCCCTCCCCCCACCAGTGCCCCCAAGCACATTTTCAACTCTTAACATACAACAGCTTTAATTTACTTAATGCACATGACTGCCACAATGACCAATATCCACCCACCCTCGCCAAAAAGAAGAAAAGTGACTTGGCCTGAGTAGGGATTGAAAACGTTCTGAAATTTTACTCCAAATCGACGGGCAAAAGCTTGGTTCCAATCTGATAGAATCTCCTAGCTAAAGTGCACAAAGTGCTCCCTCCACTTTCTTTGACGCATGGAAGCTACAGTAAAAATGAAGACCATATACAGTCTGTGTTATGAGCTTTCAAAAGATATCTTCCTGAAAGTCAGCAGCCAAAGAGAGTTGATAGGACAGGAAATTTAATGCTGCTTTCCAAATCAAAATGATTTTGAGATGGTAGTAAAGCAACATTTCTACAAGAATTATCTTACCTCACTAACAGATTTAGGACTGAAGTAGACCTTGTCAACTTGAAACACCATTTATTTCTACTGTTTATGGACTCTTATTGTGCAAGTTGGGTAGTGCAATTTTCTACATTCAAACTGTTTGCCACATTTCACCATTAAATCCTGGATTGTTCATTCAACCCTTATTTTACTGTTAATGTCAGGGTTTTTAAAAGGCTGTGGATAGTTAAGACGAGGGAATTTTATTGCAGAACCCTGATGAGAAGTCATTCAAAGTGAGGATAAGCTCAGCCAGGTGTAGGGAGGTGGTGGTGGATGGAAGTGGTGTTGGATGGAGGTGGTTCAGATATTCTTTCCAGGAAGAAATGGAGAGCCCCGAGACCATCCTGATGGGGGTGGACATGTAAAGGGATTGAAGGCCCATTTTTTTTCCTTTCACTCCTCTCACTTTCCTTAGGTCAAAGGTGTGGCTGCAGGTTCCCATGTGGGCCCCAGTTATGCCTGTTTCCTTGTGAGGTGCGTGGAACATTCCTTGTTCCACACTTATTTCAGCCCTTCCTCATAACACTTTCTCCGAATTTCACGACATCAGTGCTGCTTCCCCCTCTCTCTTCTGAAGTTGGAAAAATTTTAAATTTTGCTTCCAATTTCCACCCTGCTCTCACCTTCACCTGGTCCATCTCAGACTCCTCCTTTCCCTTCTTCGACATTCCCATTTCCATTTCTCGGGATAGGATGGCCACCAATATCCACTACAAACCCAACGATTCCTACAGTTACCTTGCCTATATATCCTCACACATGCTTTCTGTAAGGAATCCATCCCATTTTCTCAGCTTCTGTTTTCGTTGCAACTGTTCTAAAGTTGCCACCTTCCACATAGGGGCCTCAGAAACATTCACCTTTATCCTCAGCCAAGGATTCGTCACGATTGTGGTCTACAAGGCCCGTAGCCATGTCTGATCCATCTCCTTCATTCCTGCCTTCACCCCTTCTCTTGCCTCTCACAACGATACAGACCCCTGGTCCTCACTTAACACCCTATCATACTCCACATCCAAAGGAGTTCAAGCCACCATTTCTAACCGCTCCAGCGGTATGCCATAACTAGACACATATTACTCTCCCCTCCTTTGTCAGCATTCTGCAGCGACCAATCCCTCCAGGACACCCTGATCCCACTCTTCCTCGATTCCCAAAACTTCCCCACAGTACCTTGCCATGCAATCGCAGGAGATGCAACAGATGCCCATTTACCTCTTCCCTTCTCACTATCCAAGGCCCCAGACACACCTTCCAGTCAAAGCAGTGATTCATCTGCACTTTACTCAATCAGGTCTACTGTATTCGCTGCTCATAGTTTGGTCTCCTCTGCACTGGGGAGACGAAACACAGGCGAGGTGATTGCTTTGCACAACCACCTACGTTCTGTCTGTAAAAATGACCTAAGCTTCCAATTCCTTGCCATCTCAACAACCCACCGTGTTCCCACATCAACATTTCTGTCACAGGCCTGCTGCAGTGTTCCAGCAAGCCTCACTGCAAGATCAAAGGGCAGCAACTCATTTTCCACTTGGGGACTCTGCAGCTTCTGGGATTCAACATCAAGTTCAATAACTTGACAGCATGAACGCATCCTTCATTTTATTTAAAACCAATTCCCAACACCCTATCCTGTTTATGACATGGGAGGCTTTTAGCATATTCAGGCCTATTATCACATTGGTTTGATTTCAGAACAAACTACTCCTTCTCTGTTTCTCTCAGCTCTCGTTATCACGTCTTCAGTTTCTCTTCGATCCTGGCCTGCCATTCATAATCCCCTCGATTACCTGCCCCTTTCATATATCTCTCTCTCTCTCTGGGCTCTACCTCCAACTTCCTGCTCACCTGTCCTTTGCCCCCCCATCCCCAACCTCATCTTCAGCTTCAGCTTCAGCTTCAATATCATCTCTTCCTACCTGCTATCAGTTCTGATCAAGAGTCACCAGACTAGAAATGTTAAATCTGCTTTCTTCAGAGATACTGCCAGGCCTGCCGAGTTTCGCTACAAATTTCTGTTTTTGTTTCAGATCTCCAGCATTCGCAGTTCTTTGCTACATCCTGATGTTTATTCTTTGTTGATTACCAAGTTATTATCACATAGATGAGTGTACAAGGGCATCATTTCAGATGGGCAACCCCTCCCTCAATTTTGTTGAAAGGTTGCAAGTGCATATGAATCATACAAGTGGCCACATTTCAGGAAAACTGACCTTCAGTGTTGTATTTCATTCTCATGTTGTTGAAGTAGTCCCAAGCATTTTTTAAAACCCATATTCGTACAACATTGTCTTGACCAGCTGTTGCAAGTAAACGGCCACAATGTGAAAATTTCATTGTCCATACAGCACCCTAAAAGCAAAAATCCATTACATTCATTATTTCCTTGAATACCTAATTTAAAAATCTTGTTCTTACCTTCTACAGCATAACACCTGCTTTGTTTAAAAAAAGTGAATTGTTTTACGATACTCAAGCACTGATACAATCCAGCTAGCAATTAAAGTTAGCAAAAATCTAACATTACAAAGCTTTAGACAGCTTTAAAATGTTACATCCCACAATTATTAGTTAGACACTTGCAAAAGTTGACCAGCAAAACAGTCTTCAAATTAGTATACAAATTACAAGCCTGAGGATACTCCGAAATGTTTCAATGGCAGTAACTTGCATAGCAATTTTATAGCAAGATTTTCATATTTAGAAACAACCACAAAACTGAAATCAAATTAGAAAACAGAGAAACTTGTGATTGTGTTATTGGCTTTTTGCCCTGAATTCTGAATCGTTTGGAATGTGTGGATTTGACTTGTTCATACTGCAGTAAAAACAGACTTCAATCAGGCCACCAACATATCTTCTAGCCAAACAATTAAATTTGTATTACCATGGCTGTGTTGAAACTACGACTGTTTTTTTTAAATCTACCATATGACTGATGTGGGTCTGTGGAGAAACAACAAGTGCCTAACATGTCAGTAGTCCCTAAAAAGCCAATTAAAAGATCATTAAGCATATCGCCGATGAAAACACATGCTTGCAGTTTAGCTGATCAGCAAGCAGCTCCTGGAGTGTGACCTTGTCAGTTGTCCTAAATAGATGAAGTCTATTCAGATGAATGTGTTTTGGTTTTCACTGATTTGTTTTGGAAGACAAAATGGGGTTTGTAACCTCTTCTGCTTTGCTATTAATTCCATGAACAAAATGCACAAAGAATTATTTCTATTTGTTCCATTTAGTTCTTTTTTTTAAAAAAACTTTTGTGCTTCTCCATAAATTACTGATAAACACTGCCAAATACCATATAGGTATATTTCTATATATGTACAAGTTAAGCTAATAATAATTTTCCACAACCAGGTAGTTTGTGTGCTTTGAACACTTCAAAATTCATGAACCACAGGTGAAACATAGCCTCATGATATAGTTGTGGTATATTTTCTTATGTGGACTTTACTTATTAGTACAGGTATTTCTGCTAAATCGCACATTTCAAGCAGTTTTCTATAGCGTGAGATCACACAAGAACACAACTATCACGTTATAGGAGATATGCCTGTATCTAGCATACATATTTTCCCCTGAATCACTGCAGAAAGCTCTCACACTGGAAGCTTAAAGCTCCATTTGACAAACAGTTGATGTTTTGATTAGTTCAGCCCTGCACGCTGTAATAATAATCATGATTGTGTTGGAAACACAGGTCTCACTCTAAGATTAGACAAATTAGCAACAGAATCATAACACAATGTTAATCAGCCCATCAGGCCTGTGCCAAGTCTTTGAAAGAGCAATCCAATTTGTCCCATTATCCTGCTCCTCTGCAGAGCACTGCTTTTTTTTTAATTTTTCAAGTGCATAATCAATTACGTTTTTCAAGTCATTATTGAATTTGTTTCAGTCATTTGATCAAGCATTTTATTTGTCATAACTCCCTACACAAAACAAATATTCATTCTCACTCACTCATCTTATACCAATTAGCTTTTGATCCAAAGTATTATCTAGAAGTCCTGCTAGATGCTGTGACCACTTGGAGACTGAAAGAGACAAGCTCAGCTGTGGAAACCTCCTTAGCTGAAGAATCTGTTAACATTATTTTGACTTATCTATAGAAAACAATAAGGTCACAAGGGACTATTGCTGTTGCTATAGGGGAAGCAGAATGCCAGTTTCAGAAAGCCGTGAGAAGGGAAAGCAAAGACAAAGTGGAAAGAGGAAAAACATTTGCAAAAGGCAAAATAACGTTAAACTAGAAATGGATGCGGTTGTAGAGCCGGTAGGTTTGGTTGCAAATGTTTCATCACCCTGCGAGGTAATATCGTCAATGTGCCTTTGGTAAAGTGTCGGTGTTCTGTCCTTCTCGTTATTTATATGCCTCAGTTTGTTGAGGTGTTTGGTACCACTTTCAGTTCTGTTTCTCAGTGGTTTGTACACGGAGCTAATTCAATATGTTTGTTGATGGAGTTCCAGTTAGAATACTAAGCCTCCAGGAATTCCCTGGCGTGTCTCTGTTTGGTTTGTGCGCTTATGGATGTGTTGTTCCAGTCGAATTCATGTCCCTCTTTGTCTGTGTGTAGTGACAGAAGTGAGAATTGGTCGCAATTTTACAATAAAATGGCAAACCTTTCTCACATTCAATTCCTAATTTGGCCTAAATTTTAAGCAGTCTCTATACTGAAAACGAAAGTATATAAAATTTGTGCCCTGTGTTCATTTAATTCCAGGTCTTGGATACTAAACAGAACTCTCAAGCCTGAGAGCTTCCTGGCTATCAGTTGCAGAATGACACCTAAAGTGAAACAAAAAGCAATAGAACAGAAGAGCTAGAATCACTCAGGAACAGGAACTAGCTAAGTACTGATGTCCTCCGCATTAGGATGCACCCAATAATTAAAGAACCTACCATGTGCTCTCCACTTAGGTCTTGAACTACTTTAATCTGATCGAAGTCATAAGGTCCTTTGAAGCCATGGGCTGCTTTAAACTTGACAGGTCTTGTGTAAGGCATCCCCTCATCATCACTGGAAGAAGCATCATCTTGATCCATATGGAAAACTAAGGAAAGCAACAACCGACAATATTATAGCAATAACAAATTCATCAGAAATGATATTAGCTAGCTCAAAACTGCAAAGGTAGAACATTATCATTTAACTTGGAAGCTAATTGTGCATTGGACATGTTTAAATTGCATGTTGGGATTGCTTGCCTGTCCCATACCCCCTTACAGGCTTCTTCTATACTTATACCTTCAATACCTTTATATGGTGAATAATTCAAACTGTGATTGCAAAGCAACCTGTACCCCTTATGCATTACAATAAAATGATTGAGATCTTTCTAAAAAAAATTAAGCTATTAACACGTGAAACTTACCTTCATCTCGGACACTCTTAACTTTATTTACAGCCTTTTCACCATACTCCTCAGCAAGATGCTTGGCTCTCTTCACAGATTTACCCAAAAATTTCTTAAATTGATTGCTAGGAAAATAAAATATCAAGATGAAAATATGCTTTCCAGCTCTCCCCACAGGGTCATGGGTAACTAGTCCAGAATGTAGCCAATAGTTAAAGTAACAAGAGGGTTTTTACTGATCTTGAATTGAAAGTATAAATGAAGGTCAAGATAATCCATGGTAACAGAGCCTTGAAGCAGACTTAATCCTTCTTTGGAGGCATATGCAATTTAAAGACTTGACAAGTTTGCAGAGAATGTCACAGGATAAACCATTCAAATTCTGACTGCTTCCCAAGGTGGAGGGGGGCTGCTTAGGAGAAGACAAACAGGAGGAAAGTCAAGAAATGGTTGGTTTGTCAGTTTCAAATCATTTTCTCTCCAGAATTCTCATTGCTGCTTGATAAACAAGTATGAGTGCCATGGAAATTACATATCATTTTATCAGGGGAACTACAAATCAAGATGAACTACTTTTAATAAAGGTAGTTCTAACACCACTGCGCGGAGGATTAAAACAGAGTAGGACCTGTAAACAACTGCATGAATTTGATTTAGTCTGACAGCAAACGTACAACAAAACAAGTAAATCAGGAATGTTACAAAAAAAGGCAAAGAATTGCAAATGCCGGAAATCTGAAACAAAAACAAATTGCTGGAGAAACTCAGCATGTCTGTAGGATCTGTAGAAAGAAAGCAGAGTCAATGTTTGGGTCCAGTGACCCTCCTTCAGAACTGACTTTAGCTACGAAAAGGTTGGCACACGTGCTAAAGATAGGTAGGTGGGGGGTTCACCCAGTTCTACAGCAGACCACATTGCGAGCAGTAAGTACAGTAGACTACACCGAAGTGCAGATAAATTGCTGCTACACCTGGAAGATGTGTCTGGGGCCTTGGATAGTGAGAAGGGAAGTAGTAAATGGGCAGGTGTTACACCTATAATTGCATAGGAAAGTGCCATGGAGATGTGGGGAGGTGTTGGAGTTGAGGAGGAGTGCGTATTATCCATTCCATTGTCTGCCCAACTGTTGTTCCCTCTCTCTGGGCTCCATCTCCACCTGTCATTTATTATTCCCCCACCCCATCTTCAACATATATGCCAATGTTTTCTTAGCTACAACCTGTTCTGAACAAGGGACCCAAAAACTCTGCTTTCTCTCCAAGAATGTCACAAAGCTGCTCTGCACAGCTCTAGGTTTCAAGTGCAAACAGAATCAATTTTTGAACCAAGCGTGCATCACATCAGATTAACAGTGAACTCCAAAACAGCTCTCCAAATGTATTACAGACTTTGTACACAATAAAAAGAGTGTTTGACCTTAGTCCAAGCCAGTATCTGCATTCACATGAATCACCTAAACCGGTAATTATCTTGTCATCATGGCACCATATGCTCTGATCTCACGTGGAAAATAAAGCTCCTCACTAAAAGTACTTGAATGCAGTTAACAATTTGTGTAGAAAGCAATGATAGACTCAGGAATCGTCCTAACTACCTTTCAGCTGAAATGTTATCTGGCTCAGAGGCTTGGCAGAAAACTTCACTTAATTATTGCTGCTTCTGTCTCTCCTCGGGTGCATGTGTGTGGGTGTGTCACCTGGCTGAAATAAACGTCCCTGAAGTAAAACATTCTTGATGCTAGCTATACTCTGCCTCCCCCACTGAGTATGATGCATATCAGATTCATCAATCTAGCTGGCAGTATCATTCATTCAAGAACAGGATGGTACTTGGGGTAACTTTGTTTGATTGGTGTCCTAAAGGAAGATTCCCCAGGTTGGAAGAGCCTAGTCATACATTTGCATTGTGCTTCCTAATTTGCCCAAGTGTGATATAACACAAAAAAGAATATAGAGGCACTCCAGAAGATGTGAAGAAGATTTACAAAGCTGGTAACAGAAATATTTATCAGGAGAAGATTTGACAGGTTGGGTCTCTTTTTGCTTAAGAGGGAAGGCCGAGGAGTGATCTAATGGGTATCTTTAAAGTTATAACGATTTTGATCGAGTGGACGCAGTGAGGTTTTCTCTTGTAGAGAACAGCATAACTTGGAACAGGATAGTCACTGAGAAATCTAAGGGAATTGAGAAAAATCATTTTTCGTCCAAAGAGTGTCGAGAAATGAGAGATTCTCAAGCACAGGGTGGTTGAACTCAATAGTATAGTTGCATTTAAGGGGAATCTAGACAGGCACTTGAGAAAGTGAACAGAGGGTTACAATGGTAGATTGTGATTAGGAAAGATGGAGAAGTGGGGCAGGGGGAAGATCATTTGGTGTACAAACACCAAGGACCTACTGTGGTAAGTAATTTATTTCTGTGCTATACATCCGATGTAATCCTGTAGAACATTAAAAAAAACATGCTCCAAGGGCAGAACATAAATTAAGTGTAAGGAATAAACTTGCTCAAAGCGTTGTCAAATGTTTCCTTTTAAACAAGTCTATTTTAAACATACCAAAGCTTCAATTTTTCTTGAACAGCAAAAGAAAGATAAATTAACTTACGTTTTCTGTTTGATTTTATGGCTATCTTGCTCAGATTGAGCTGTATGAATCTTTTCTTCATCATCTGACTGCGCAGCATCATTACTACAACGGGAAAAATATTCTGATTAAATCATGCCATCTCCTTGTTAACATACAGATAGTTTATGTGGAATTCTCAGTCTAAATTCCTCAAATACATCAACCCCATTTAAAATTACAGCACAAGCTGATTCATTGTACTATAAGCACTTCAGCCGATAACTGATATTTAGCATCAACTGGTTTAGTAATGAACCAAAGTTGGTCTGCTGATGTGTTTGAACAAGTAACCCAGGAAAATACATCTGAATAGATGTTGAACATCTCCCAATACCATTCTGAATATCTTTTGCTCATTTTGTTAATGATAACAAAATACACTGTTCAAATATCAAAGTAAAACCAAATTAGTCGGCTTGCTGACTTGAGAAAAGTGCTGCTTCGTAAAATTCAATAAGGAATCAATCCTGTCATTTTAATTCGACTAAGATTTAACTCCTAATTTGCATCAAGGAGGAAACCTCACTAGCAGCATCAAGTTACATGCGATACTTCACATTTCTGCCAGTTACTTTATTGGACATATAGAATCTTTTATGATTGGACAGCTGAAAAAAACGGAAGCTGCAGTGATGACTAATGCCCAAATTCACCAAAAGTTGGTTCACCCATTTAATTTGCAATGAACTTCAAGTAGAAATTGAAACAAAACTTGATATAAAAAAATTCATGATGAAATGGACAAAAGCTGCAATCCTCAGTATAGCAGCAGAACCAGGTATTAGCATTGACTATGTACCTCACATATTCCTTTGTTCGGCGCATGATGTGCAATGTCAATGGGTTCAGGCCTTTAGGAAGCTTTTCCTCAGCCATATTCAAAGGGATCTCTTCTCCAGTGTCTAGATTCTTGACCATCACACTTGCAAGAATTTCCTTTTATAAAGCAAGAAACTAATTATTTAACACTCCTAATGCAAGCCAGGTAAATCTACCATTTAAGTGCACTAGTCAGATACTTGACATGAAAGTGCAACACCACAATGCTGTTGGAGCAAGAATGGAGATTGCTGTAGCCTTGTCAGAGACCTCTAACTTTTTAGTCACAGTTGAGGTCCCAGAAGAGTATGTTGTCCCTTTGTTTAAAATGGGCAACAGAGGTAATCCAGAAAATCACAGGCCGGTGAACCTTACATCAGCAGTAGAGAAATAATTGGAGAAGACACTTACGGACTGGATTTACTCATGTTTGGAAACAAACTGACTTATTAAGGAGATTCAGTATGTCTTTTGTGCTAGGGAGGTCTTATCTCAAATTTGATTGAGCTTTTTGAGGAAGTGAAGATGACGATGACTGATGAGGGTAAGGCAGTGGAATTTGTCTACATGGACTTCACTAAAGCATTTGACAAGGTTACTCATGGTAGGCTAGTCGATATTAAGTCACACAGGATCCACAATGAGTTGGTAAGTTGGATGTGGAATTGACTTAGTCATAGAAGACAGAAGGTAGTTGTGGAAGGGTATTTTTCTGACTGGAGATCTGAGACAAGTGGTGTTCCACAAGTATCAGGATCAGTAGCGGGACCTCTGATGGTTGTAATTTATATCAGTGATTTGGACGAAAATTTAGGTGGCCTGATTACTAAGTTTGCAGACATGAAAACTGGAGGAGTTGTAGATAATGAGGAAAGTTGCCAAATGATACAGCAGGATACAGATCAGTTGGAAAGGTGGCTGGAGAAATGGCAGCTGGAGTTTAATTCGGACAAGTGTGACATGATGTGTTTTGGAAGGTCAAATGCAGGAGCAAAGCATATAGTAAAAAGCAGGACCCAGAGGAGCATTGATACAAGGGATCTTGGGGTGCAAGCCCAGAACTCTGTCAAAGTGGCAACACAAGAGGATAAGGTGAGAAAAAAGGTGGACAGCATGTTTGCCTTTATCAGTCAGGGAATTGAATAGAAGGTTAGCAATTCATGCCGAGTCTTCAGAGATTGGACAAACTTAGATTGCTTTCGCTAAAGCATCAGAGGCTGAGGGGCGACCTGATAGAAGTACATAAAATTAAGAGGCATGGATGGGGTGGATAGTCAGAGTCTTTTCTTCTCCCCAGCCCCGCCTGTGGAAATGTCAAATCCTAGGGGCCATAGACTTAAGATGAGAAGGGGAAAATTTAAAGAAGTGTGAAGCAAGGCTTTTTTTTTTAATACAGAGAGTGGGAGGTAACTGGAATGCGCTGCCAGGGGAGGTGGTAGAAACAGGTATGATAGCAATATTTAAGAGGCATTTAGACAGGTGCCTAAATAGATATGGACCAGCGCACTATGGACCATTTGCAGGCAGATGGGCATGGTTGGCTGAAGGGCCTGTTCCTGTGTTGTACTGTTCTATGTTCTATAATTTATAAAGCAAACAGGGAATCAATATACTAGACGCAGTTTGTCCAACAATAGTGAAATCTATTTCATTCGTTGTGCAACGGTGCTGAGGTCATTGTGTACAAGTATACCAACAAATTGTGAACATTATTCAATTCACTCTAACCCTGTAAAAAGCATTTTCAAATCAGGGCACATGGACAGATCAGATCAGACAGATAAGTGGACAATGGAATTCAAAGTGAACATGTGCGAGGATGTTCATTTTGGGAAATCAAACAAGGCAAAAGAATACACAATGAAAAGTATGTCGAAGTGTAGTGGAACTAAAGTACTTTTGGCTGTTACGAAGGCATATGGAATTCTTTAACTTATTAGCCGAGGTATCGAATATAAGAGCAGGGAGGTTATGCTGCAAATGTATAAATCATTAGTTATACCACAACTTGAGCAGTGTGCAGTTCTAGTCACCTCATTACAGTAAGGATGCAATTGCACTGGAGAGATGAGATAATTTACAAGGATGTTGCCATGCCTGAAAAAATGATGTGATGAGAAAAGATCTGATAGGCTGGGGTATCTGTCATTGAAAAGAAAATGTGATGGGCTTGGTAAAATTGAATAGGCAGGGCCTTAGCAGAGTGGTCAACAATTAGCAGGCACAGATTTCAAGTGATCAGTAGAAAGATTAAAAAGGTGAGGAGAGAAAGCTCTTTCACACAGACTGCACTACAGGTCTGGAACTCACTGCCTGAAAGGGTGGTAGAGGTAGAAACATACAAATGTAAAATGTCTGGATGTGTGCATTTCAAGTGTTATGTGTAGAGTTATGGACCAAATCCTGGAAAGTGGAACTTAGCTGGGTGGCTCATTTTTTTTTTTGGTTGGGGCAGACAAGAGCCACCAATAGGCCTTTTTACTGTACAATTTCTAGGATTCATTCTGGAATATTTTTATTTCAATCAATGACCTCATTCAAAAAATACATAGTTTAATATATCCTTTGTAGGGGCAAAGATGAAAATGACAATCAATTTCTACATAATCAGTGTGCTACAAATAGCCTCAGTATCTGCAAACTCCTGAAACATGCTCTTGGACAGCACATTTCAGGTTCTCAAGTTAAGCAGCACTGGACTCTGCCATAATCCTTTTCGGGGTTTAACACCACAAAGGTAATCATTATTAAGACAAGACTTTTTTAAAAAAGTTTTTTTTTTTTAAAACATTGAAAAAAAAAATCAGTATATTAGGCAAAGCTAACACGCAGTCAATCAAATTCTTTTAATCACTGATCTTCAGTACACTTTCTTTCTTGGCCTAAATATTATGGTCTCTCGACCACTGGAGACCAAAGCGTAATGGCATTCTATGCAAGTCTTAATACTGACAGACATGAGGATTTCCAGAAAGTTTATAATTTCCAATGGGCAATTCTCCTGTTCCCAGCTTCTCCACAAAACGTCTCTGACTCTGTGCCAGAGTTGGAAATTTTGGACAGTTCCACAGTACTTAATTGGGTAGTTACCGACTAAACAGTAGTCAGATTAACATCTGAGTAACCCCACATAATTAGCCATCCACCCGACCACATTTGTTTTCTCAGCCATCTCACCCTGCAACAAACATTCAGACCAAAACTTTAAAACTACCATTCAGCATGCTGGGGAATGGGTGCACGTGTTCTGACTTCACCCATCTCCACACCACTCTAACAGAGCTTCCTGAGGGACGTTGCATTGCACATTTCTCTGACAAAAAGACGGAAGCCCCAGGAGAAATGCATAGAAGCGTCAAATCGGGAGACTTTTGGAGCATGGCAGCAATTCCAATATTATTGCCCTGCTTGGAAGGGCTATTGTAATTAAAAGGCATTGGACACCACGATTTGTAACTACAGCAATGGCCACAGATTTCAATTATTAAAGAAAGGAACCTTTCTGATAAAGGGTCACCAGACTCGAAACGTTAACTGTTTTTTCCTTAACAGATGCTGACAGACCTGCTGGGCTTTTCCAGCAACTTTGTTTTTGTTCCTGATTTATAGCATCCGCAGTTCTTTCGGTTTTTAAAGGAACTAAATACATTTGTTCTACATATTTTGCATATCTATTTCTCAATTTTGAGAAACAGAAAAGCTATTAAATAATCAGGGAACTTCTCATCTTGAAACGGGGATTGCAACAGCTTTAAAATTGACTAAAATTACATTAAGATTAACCTTTTTATTCAGAACAACCAGGTAAACATCCACAAGGCAAGTCACACTTTAAACATAGAAAACTCAGCACTTCCTACTTATTTTTAACCAGATTATTATTCTTCACCTCATCAGTGAGTTCTCTTCCAGAGTTTGATCTTGGTCTTTGCGGTCCTAGCATTTCAGTTTCAGGAATACCAGATGTTGATTCTCCAGCCCCTTTCCCATTTTCCTGTAAATTGGATTTTAAAAGCAGAGTCGGGACACGGAGTAAGCAACCAGGTAAATTATATCTTAAAACAAATATAAGCTATTTTATCAGTCTGGATTATTATGCTTTGCCCTTACTTAATGCAGACTAAATAATTCAGAAGACCCGAGAGATCATTGTGCCAATGCTCTCCAATGCACAAGATCCAATTTCTAATTTGTTGGAGTATAATACGGAGCTTTGCCAAAGCATGGATGTTTGGAAGGAAGATGCTGCACATTTACGAAAACAGATTTCAGATGTTACAAGCGCAAATCAAACGATTGCACTCTATGTCCTACCATTGTTAAAAATATAAAATTAATTCTTAAGAAAGCTTGTTCCACCAACCATGAGATCATCACTGATCTAATCCCTGAAGTTTACTAACAGTCTACTGAATCTGCAGTGCACCTCTTCCAAGGCCAAAATATCGTAAGGTGCAGTGCACTCAATTCTACTCAGGGTTCCAGATGTGGCCCAACCAGGGCTTTGTATGTGGAATAAAACAACGTCCATAGACATTTCATTATTGATTACTTTAGTTACTTCCTAAAGAAACCAATTGGATTCATCTTACAAGGCTTTTTGCAAACTTACATTTGTTTTCTCTAATCTGCTCAAGTTTTTCTAAAAGCTCTATCTCTTTATCCTTCATTATAGATTTTAATGACTTCTCCCTTGGACTTGTTAGACTAACAGGTCCATGATTCCTGGTAACCCTATTTCTTTTTTCAGTCAGTACAAAACTCAAAGCTGGTTATTTTGATTTCTTTTCTATCATGTCTTCAGTCAGAGTGATGACATAGCTTTCTTCTCATGTCCACAGACTATGAAAAATGTTAGTGTCAAAACATGAAACCTGTACAATGGTGGTACAATTGTCCGCAGTCAATTACAACACTTAAGTTCTTTCTTATCCTGTGTAGTTGACAATTAACTTCTTAAATCTAGAAGAAAAACTTCTCCATTTCACCACTACAGCCTGCCTCTTCCAACAAACAAAATTATTGGAAGTGTTGCAGCTTTGGAATTTACATATTCTTCCCATTCAAATTCTGCTATCTTGATCTCTCTCTCAAACTTCAAACACAACTGATGCTAGCCTAAAGTATAAAGGGCATTCAATATGACAAGCTATCTTCCTTCTGAAATTAGAAAAATTAGAACCTCAATGTGTTAGATCCCAATGGCTTTCACCTATATAACTGATTACAAAAATTAACATTTCATTGACAAAGCAGAAATAAACTGGAGTTAACCATTCCTGACTCCAATTGTTCTATGCTGTGTCCTGGATGGTGCTGAGCTTCTTGAATGTTGCTTCAATCATTCAAGTAGAAAATATTCCATCACACTCCTGACTGGTGTCTTCAGAAATCATAGAGAGTCAGTGGGAACAGAGAAAGTGAGTTGCTTGCCATGCAATTCACAACCTTTAATCTATCTTTGCAGTCAGAGCACTCACATGACTGATCAAGTTCACTTTCTGATCAATGGTAACGCCAGGATGTTGATAGTGGGAAACTCAGCAATGGTAGAGCCATTTAATGTCAAGGGGCAGTGATTAGATTCCCTGCTGTTGGAGATGGTATGTGAGTGGCACGAATATTTTTGCATGTCAACCTCAGCCTGCATATTGTTCAAATGCAGCAAGACCTCAACACTGGCTGCTTCAATATGACAGGAAGTCATGAATGGCACATCACCACTTCTGACCTTATGACGGAATGGTATTCATGAAGCAGCTGAGGATAGGTGGACACGATCTTGAGCAACTCCAGCAGTGACTACTGTGACGGAGATGATTGACCACTAGTAACTACAGCCATCTTCCGTTGGGCTTTGTGTAACTCCAACAAATGCAGAACTTACCTCCTGATCACCAGTGACTTCAGTTTTGTTAGGAGTCCATGATGTAAAGTGGATGTGCAGTTGCAACTCTGTCTGAAACAATCTCTTTCCAGGATTCCTGATTAACGTATCTCTGGCTGGCTAGCAATCATTTGAGCAAGTCATTACAACTTGCAACTCCCAAACAACACTTCAGAATAAGCAGCCAAGATTTGAGTATATGACCTGGAGTTATAATAGATTCTCTAAAGCATTCATTTTACAAAACAGTGAAACTCACAAGACAGGACTTGATAACTTTTACTTTCTGAAGATAGAAAGCTACAGTCAGATTTCTGCAACACTTCGAAAGCAGTCTGGACATGGCAAATAATCTCAATTTTCTGGTTAAAGATAATTAGTAGTTACAAATATCATCACCTTCCTGCACTGACCTAAAAGAAAATACACTGATAGAGTTTGTGTTGGGATAAGGATTAAAGCAGGTTTCTACTGATTAACACTGCTGTGAGAGATACTGTTCTGATTAAGACTGTGAAGAACGTTAGTACTGAGAACTTAAACTTACACAGTTCCCTTCAAGAAGGATGCTGAACAGTATTTTTCTTTCCTCACTTCTAAGCAGGGCTCAAATACACAGGGATGTTGGACAAATCTGCTCAACAAATGTCACACGTAACCCACAAAAATGAAAATCAAAGATGATGGGAAAAAGTAAGGTGCCTATCCCTCTAACAATATCATTCAACATTATAGCTCTTTCAAGAACCAGGCCTGAATAATAGCAGGCACAATGGATTGTTGAGAGATGGAAAACATGTAGGGTTTGATTGGAGGAGCAGCAAGTGTGACAAAGTGTAAGGAGCTGCTCCTCCAATCACAGATTCCCTCACTTCTGATCTTGCTGCTACTTCAGAGCCAGAATCCATGATTGGAGTCCAAAATAATGGCACTTCAAAATCAGATTTCATTTACCAAACAGTTTCAGCAAGCTAATATAATTGTTTTGTACATACCTGTGCAGTAACAACTTTGTCTCCACTGGTTGCACTCGCAAGATCTAATGAATGCTGCAGTTCTTTGGCTAGATTCTCTACAGCAGTGTTGGGACTCACTAGTCCACTGGAAGCAACAGGATCGGTACAAACTGCATGAAAAAGCAAAACACTTCTGAACTAGAATTTTTCACAAACTGATACCAAGCAACTTTGGAGCACAATGTAAAAAAACGCAATGCCTCTTTGAATTTGTTATCCAAAATATTACAATTAGGGATAACTTTTTACCAGGATAACTATTCAACAACATTTACAGACCTGAAAGCAAATTTATGGAGAGACGCAAATTAAAGACAGAAGATTTGAGAACACAAAGAAAGTAACATTTCAGATTTTAACTTGACCAACAATGGTTTGTCAGGGGTCCAAAGTTTTGTGCGATCTCTAATATGGAGTCTAGCCTGAGATAAATCAATTGTTCTAACCGTATATAGTCTACGAATATGATGCATCCCAAGCATTCAAAAAGTATTTCGAACACAGTTGAGGTATTCAAGATTGTTATTGCAAGTCAAAACATCAATGAATATGCACTATCTGTAACAATCTTTAAAGACAGAAATAAACAAGAGTTAATGATTCCTGACTCCAATCTTTCATAGTTCTATGGAGATGTGCACTGTGATATTTCACAAGTAACATTGTGAAATATACACCTTCAAAAGAATTTGGAACAGATTTTCTTTGAGAACATTTTTTGTAATGCTCTGTCCAATCTGTTGATTCTGCTTCCACCTTCTAAGCAAACAGTGGACTTCTGGCTCAGCTGATGACCAATTGTAAGAATCAGATAGCAAGTAAAATTACCATGCCTATCCCTCAAGTACAAGCATTGACCAGCCTTTATTGGTGAGCAGATGTCGGCTCAATTTCACTTAATCAGCTTTAAGTTGATAGAAAAAGCAATATGAAGTTTGGCTACAAAACTGATTTAACTATACAGCTGTTTCTTAACCACTACGGGGAGGCAGTAGTCAAAGCTTTTCAAGTTGCATTCATCAGGACCAAGATGCAAGAAATAGCCTTGAAAATCACAACACAAATTTATGTAACAAGGGTACTCATTGGTTGAGCCATCATTGGCATGGTGGTGCACGATGGCCCAACTAAACAGATTCACAGAGTACATAAAAGGCCCTTTGGTCCATCAAGCTACACTAAGCTCGCTTTCCACCACTCTGTCCATAGCCTTGAATGTTATGATACTTCAAGTGCTATTCAAGTACTTTTGAAACATTCAGAGGCTACCTATCTAACCTACCCTCCCAGACGATGCATTCCAGACTCCCACCAACTTCAGTGAAAAACCTTTCCTCTATTACCTCTAAATCACCAAGCTTTCAGCTTAAAAGTATGCCCCCTTGTTATTTATATTTAAAATGAAGGGGAACAGCTGCTTTCTATTCAGACTGAAAACTCTCTTCAAGAGTCATCTAGACTTGAAAAATTAGCTTGCTCTCTCTCTCCATGGATGCTGCCTGGCTCGCTGTCATCTCCAGCATTTGTTGTTTTCAATACAGATTTCAGAATCTGCAGCAATTTGCTCCTGTTTTCTATTCATCCTGTATAATCCCATGCACCTCTATATCAGATCACCCCTCAACCATCTCTGCTCCAAAGAAAACCACCCAAGCTTATCCAGCCTCTCTCCATCACCGAACTGCTCAATCCCAGATAACATCCTGGCGAATTTCCTCTGCAACCCATCCAATGCAATCACATCCTTCTTATAGTGAGGAGACAAGAACTGCACATAGCATCCAGCTATGGCCTAACCAAATCCTGTATTGCTCATACATCACCTCCCTGGCTCTTGTAATCTATGCTATGACTGATAAAGCAAGTGCTTTATAGTCTCAATACCCTGTGAACTTGCCTTGCTACCCTTAGGAATTTGCAGTCAAGTTGCCCAGGATCCTTCTAAGCTTTATAGTATTCTGCCACTGATTCAGTCGTTACCTGCATTGTTCCTTCTTCCAAAGAGTATTACCTTACATTTGTTAGGGTTAAATTCCATCTGCCACTGATCCGCCCATTTGACTAACCTGTCTATATTCTCCTGTAATCTAAGGCCTTTTTTCACACTGTTAGCCACCAGGCCAACTTTTGTGCCATCTGCAAACTTATCATTCACCCTCCAAACTCTCATCTACATTGTTTGTGATATGTATAAGCAATAAAGAGACCCAGCACAGAGTCCCTTTGATACACCACTGGATACTGGACTCCAGTCACGCATCAGTCTTCTCCTACCAAGAAGCCCTGGATCCCATATGCTTTCAGCTCCTTTATCAGTGTCTTATGTGGGATCTTGTCAAACGTTTTGCTGAAATCCACAAACAACAATTGCACCACCCTCATCTGCACACTTGGTCATATCTGAAAAATTCAGCCAGATTTGTTCGGCCTCCCCCTGACAAAGCTATGCTGACTATCCCTGAGCAAGCCTTGCTTCTCTAAATGGAGATTAATTCTCTCCTTCACAATTTTCACCAATCGTTTCCTTACCACCGATGTGAGACTCTCATGTCTGTAGTTTCCTGGTTTATCTTTACCACCTTTCTTGAAAAATCAAACAACATAAGCAGTCCTCCAGACCTCTGGCATTTCCCTGCAGCCAGGGAGGAATTGAAAATTTGGGTCGGGATCCTGCAATTTCTCCTACCATCTCCACAGCAGCCTGGATACAACTCATCTGGACCTGGGGATTTGTCCACTTTTATATCTGCCAAAACCTCCAATATTTCCTCTCTCCCTATAACTAATGCGCTCAAGTACCTCTCAATCCAGCTTCCCAAATTCTGTACCGATATCCTTCTCCTCCCAAGTGAAGGCATATGTGCAGTAATCATTTCACACCCTACCAATGCCCTGTGGCTCCACATACACATATCCTCCATGTCCTAATGGGCCCAACTCTTTCCTTGGCTATTCTCTTCCCCTTAATTGACTTGTAGGATATCTTGGGATTCTCCCTAATCTTGCCCACCAGCATTTTCTAATGCCCCTCTTTCCTCACCTAATAGCTTTAAGTTCCACTCTTCACCTCTATACTCCACTTAGGCTCCCACTGATTTGCTACTTTTATATATGTAATACGCCTCTTTTTTCCTTTTTATCCAGTTCTGAATATTCCCAGACAACCAACGTTTCCTGCTTGCTGCTCCTATATTTCCCCCTAAAGGGGGAATGTTGGGGCTGTACACTCCTCAATTCCTTTTGTATGCTTCCATCTGCTCCAAAGATTTACCCTCAAGTACCTTCTCCTGGTCTACTTTCGCCAGATTCTGCCTCATTTTAATAAAATCTGCCTTCCTCCAATCCAAAACTGCTTTTTTTGCAAGGATTCTTTCTCCTTTTCCATATCCTCCTCCTCTTTGTATAGACATTCCTTCCCCTCTCCCAACCACCAAATCTGTTTCTTGCATCTCAGTCTTGATAAGTCAAAAAAGTTTGGATGTCTTGATTGCTTTTAGCAACATTTGCCGATCTGTGAAACATTTTTGCTTCAACACATTTCCTGAATAGCTGTCTATTGTTTTCAAAGCCATTCATAGCAGAGTTCGCTATCACTTGTAAGTGTAGTCTTTAAGAAAAGGAAATTTAGCTTGTCAATAATATACAAACAAAAGTTATTTTTGGTTCCTGCACAGATGAAATTTGAGACATCTGAATTGTTTGATTTTCATCTGTTACACCCATTAGATCACTAAACAAATGATCTACTTTCAAAAACAGAAATTGCTTGAGAAACTCAGCAGGTCTGGTAGCACCCTTGGAGAGAATGCATAGTTTTGGGTCCAATGACCCTTCTTCAGAAATGATTGTGGCTGGGAAAAGATTGGCGTAAATGTAGGAAGATGGGCAAGCAGAAAACAACAGATGGAGATGGAGCCCAGAAAACAAGAGCGTGGCGATGGTGGGGGGTGAACAGCAGTTGGGCAGACAAATTATCCAGTTTGTTGCCCTGAGAGCTTTGGTTTGATTAGTCTTCAAAAGATTGTACAACCTTTTTCACAGGGGTTGGAGGCATATTTCTATTATTGTCTCTCTCTTGGTTAGCAAATTTCAGAAATGTAAGATTTGACAGAATAAAAAAGTGTGAACTGTGCAGATAAAATGATAACCACTTTATTAATTATGCAGTTATCAAAAGGGTCAAACAGCAAAGCTAACTTATTGGTTTGTCCTTTCAGTTAAGGAGCCAAGCTGGAGAAAGAGTGACAAGGCCCCAGATTCATGATTAGAAGAGGGCATGGGGACAGCAGCACAGGTAAGGAGTTAGATAAACACAAGGTCCTTGTTTGTTAAGCCTCTGGCAATTCACTGTCCAAGCAAGGGTTGATGGAATTCAGACAAAAGGGTGGGTAGGAGGGAGTTGCCTTGGAGGCTGAGATTTTTTTTCCCCAGCCTGCTTCACAAAATGACGTTTCAGAAGGGAAGAGGAAGATTGTGTTGTGTCGGGTTCTCAGTCACTGGTGTCACTTTCAATCCCTCATTCATCAAAATACAGACAGACGCATGTAGACAGGCGGGTGCAAGCAGACAGGCACACACAACCCCATTCCCTCCCTTACATATTCCCAACACACATACCTGCTCCTCACTTTCTCTCATGTACTGGCCCTCCTTGCCCGTCCCAACACAAACCCATCCTCCCTCCCTCTCCTGATCACTGCCCCAACTTATACATCCATCCCTCCATCCCTCTACCACCAATTCCCACACAAGCCTAGCCCTCGCTCCCTCTCTCACATGCTCTCCTCTGTTGCCACCTTACACACTCCCACCCTCCCCACACACTAGCCTTGCTGACATCCTGTTCCCAGCAGTCTCT